TCCTGGTGGCCAACCCAAATCTCCCAAGGCAGTGCTTGTGGAAAGGAAGGAGAAGAGAGAAGTGCCTTCAAACTGCGTGTTCCAGGAAGCCTTTTCAGCAGAACATAATGAAGTAGGATAGGGAAGATAAAAGAATGGAGGTAATCAGCTGGAGGAAGCCGTGGCTCAGTTGGAGAGCACCAAGTACAAGAGTACAGCAGGGTTCATCTCCAAAGGGAAAGTCAGCAAGGCCTCAAGTTAGAGAAGTTAATAGGAATATATCAAGGAAGTCGTTTGAGAACTGCTGAGAATGGTTTGGGACTCACTGGGGCAGAGATGTTAGATCTTTTAAAAAATACATGTATTTATTGGTTACCTGCTGGTGAAACCCATCAGACTTGCAGATAAAAAGCTGGGAATTTTCAGCAAGGAATTCATCTGCATTAAGACATTTTCTTCACTGGAAACAAGTTAATATAGCCCCAGCTGTGCCAGAATCTTTTGGTTTTTCTCATCCTGAAATTTCTTGTGGGGGAAATGGTTCAAGGCCAGGTTGAACAGGGCTTGGAATAACCTGGTCTGGTGGAAGATGTCCCTGCCCATGCCAGGGGGTTGGAACTGGATGACTTTTAAGGTCCTCCCAATCCAAACCAGTCTTTGCGTCTATTATTCAATAATATCTCATTTATTTAGGCTCAAAGGGGTGCTTGTGTAAGCTCTGCCTAATTCAAATAGGCAAACACAATGTACAGATACTTTGTCACCCACGTTCAGGTTCACCTGTGCAACAAATGATCTCATCTTCCTAGTCCTTTTCAGGGAGGACAGGGATTTCCTTTACAATATTTCAATATGTAGTGTATAATATAAAATTGAATTAATAATTGAATTATCATTTTTTGATCCTCTAGCTCTTAAGCAGATCGTAAACTTCAGCAAATGAAAGGTCGAGATTTTTCCTGCCTCAGCATTTATTTTTTGGGCAGTCTGAGGTCAGCAAATTCCAAAGTCAAGAGCTGCTTTGTGCTTATAAATTATCTATTTCATTTTTCATACAATGAAGACAAAAGGGCTTGTTGCTGATAGAGATGTCAGGCTTTTCTCCATTGGAAGTGTGTGGATTTATTTAGTTCTTCATCTCAGAGGAAACAGTAGGTGATGTGAATGTGTCTCCTTGGGGTTTTGTCTCCCAGGACACTCTCCTGTGTCTCCTCAGTGAAGATCTGAGTGCTCTTATCCTGGTTTGGAGGTGGATCTGATGGAAGATGCTGTAGGACTGTAGGTTTTTGGGATCAGCTTTGTTTTCCATTTGCTGTTTTTTGAGATCAGGAAGGTCAAGTGCTGTAGTGAAATCACTTGCTCCAAGGCATTTCCATGAGGTTTAGTTCTTTCCCTCCACGGGGGAGGTTGATATCAGCTGGGAGAGGAGAAGGCATCCTGGGACAGTGGAAGATGAGAGATGTTCAATCAACTCTTAAGTTCAGGTGTTGCTAAAAAAAGAATAAATTAAAGAAGCTGCTCATTGTGGAAACGAATCTCTGAGCTCGTGCCTGCTGTCCCAGACTTTTTTGGGGAAAGGTGGGATATACCCTTGTAACTTGCCTAAATTAACCTTTAACATATAAATTGGAAGGTAATTTAATTATTGTTTGGTGGATCCCAAGTGAGGGTCAAGCTTCAAATGATTTAAGTGAAAAATTGTCGGAAAATTAGTGGAATTTGCATGGAGTGTAAGGTCAGGAGGCCTTTTCATGTTCAAGGAGACTTTGGCTGAATATTATTAGCATGCAATTTGTATAAAATTCATTTAAAGAGGTGATGTGCAGGTCAAGGAAGAAAAGTATCTCTTTTCTTTGTTCATACTCTCTCATGTTGGTTCTGTGCCACCTGATGTGAAATAAATTACTTTTGGCACATAGAGAAAATACCACCCTCTCTCTGGAGTGTAAAGAATGGGTCTCTCAAAAGGCATTGCATCCCAGTGCCACAAAAACCAAGGCAGTGGGAGTTTAAAGGGAAAATCACCTTGACACAAGGAATGTCATGAAAGAAAATGGAACAATGTCTGTTGCTCAGAACAGCTCCCCTTTCTGTTGTTTACTCCTTTTTAAGTTCAGAGCTGCTATTTCATTTTTGTAGAGCCTGAAAGACTCTCCTGTCCATGTCACTTTTTTAAAAACCCTGCAAAATAGATTTAATTATATATTCAAGAATATATTCTTGAATATGTATTTCAATATATTTAATTTCAAAATATTCCAAAAATATTTCATTCCTTTATTCTGAAAAGATAATGATAATAACTTCATTAACTTCCTGGATTTTCCATGCCTGCTTTATTCTTTTAGGTTTTATATTTGGTCAGAGGTTGGCCTTGATGATCTTGGAGATCTTTTCCAACCATGATGATGGGGGTTGCACACTGCCCTATGGAGATGGGGGGATCTGGGCACGGTGTTTCTAAAGGCACAAAGTAAACCAGTGCTGGAGGAAAACAGTGGGATGCGATGTTCCTGGTGTCCCGTGTCTGTAGGAGCTCGGAGATGTGGTGATTCCCGATTCCCAGGGGTGGGGGACACACCCATGGAATCATAAATCATTAAGGTAGGGAAAGCCCTCCAAGGTCGTGGAGTCCAACCATTCCCCAGCGCTGCCAAGGCCACAGTGACCCATTCCCGACCTCCCTTGTGGCTCTGTTTGCCCTTCACGTGGAGCAGTTCCCTCCTGCGATGGGAGCGTGTCCTGCACTTTCAGGGGAATGCTAAAATAGATGAAAAGGTAACCAGGTTACAGCCACAAAGTATCCCAAGACTGTTTGCCATCAGCTTATTCCCATGGCATTCCTGCTGGAGTTACTCCTTGCTGGAGTCTCTAGGAGCAACTGAGCGTTGCTGTCTCAGGGATTAGGAAGCACTGGAAGCTCCTGCAATAGAGCAGCACTGGTGTTTGTCTGTTTATAATTAATTTTTAGTAGTCTTTTTGTTGGGTATTCATGGCCACAAGCGAACTCTGCAGGTTCTGGCGGTGCAGGAGGTTTAATTTTGCTAATCCTGTTTTATTCCCATTTCAGTGTAGCTGTTTCAATGCCACAACATGGTGCCTGCAATGAATTTCAAATGTATTTTCAGATGGCATTGTCTTGCAGAATGGGAGAGAAAATCATCCTTCCCAAATGCCGTTTGCAGGAGCTCTTTCCTGCTGTCTGGAAATCCCACTTTGCATACAAAGTAGGGAGGAAGCACAAACCTCTTCCTCACAAGCTCTCAAGCCCCCACCACGATTACAACCTTTTTATCTGGGATAAAAAGCATTTTCTTTCATCCTTCTCAATAAGAGTATTTTGCTTTTACCATTTGGTACAACACCTAATGCAAGCCACACATAGGCAGCCATTTTTTTCCCCTCCCAAATTATGATTTTTTTTATACTCTTTACACACACAAATGAACATGATGAAATGTACAAATGAAATGGTGCTGGCTTTGAAAAAGCACTTTAGAAAAGCAGCCGTGATTCCTGCCCTGTCTGGGAGCAGGTCCAGCTGTCACTGGGTGGTTTTTGGTGAGGAACAACGGAAAGGTGAAGAATTACCCTCAGAAATTTTATTTCACAAAATCACGGAATGATTTGGGTTGGAAGGGACCTTAAATCTCATCCAGTCCCACCCCTGCTATGGGCAGGGACAACTTCCACTAGATCAGATGCTCCAAGCCCTGTCCAACCTGGCCTTGGGCAGTTCCAGGGATGGGGCAGCCACAGCTTCTCTGGACAGCCTGGTCTTACTCTGATTTTCTTAAAGATCTTCTTAATGCTCTGCTGTGCGTTAGTGAAGCCACTGATGGAATTCCGAGCCTCCCTGTCTCTTCCCACTTCCTTATAACCCTGATTTCCTTTGCTTTGAGAATGGCTCCTTCAGTGCTAACTTGGGGGTGGAGGGACAGCTAATTAATTAAGCACTAATTGTTGTCAAGTCAATCGGTGCTAACATTTAACACATTTAACGTTTGACTTGTTTACTCTCCAGAGGTAAAGCGGAAGGAGTTAATGATCTAACAAATTGTGTCCCCATCATGAGGGACTTGTTTGGAGAGAATGGTGTTATTTATGAACTGTAAAATAACACATTTTAACAAAATCCCCAGATTTTGAAGCAAGATGGGCTTGGTTCTGGTGTGAAATTACCACTAGATAGCTGTGGAGACAAGTGCGTAGCCTAATAAAGCTTAATGACTGATTTTCCCATTAATCAGAATTGAGAATGTGCTTCATTAAGATCATTAACTGAGCCAGTTGCCTAACTGACAGTTAGACACAAATTCCCAAATTACTTGCATTCCTCTTGATAAAACCCACAAGAAGCTGACCTGGCTTCATGGTCTCTATTGGAGAGAGGAGCACAAAGGCTGTGGCAGTCTCCTTGCTCACATAAGCTCTGTGTCAGTCTCCCCATGGCACACGGGTGGGATGAGGGGGTGGCCCTGCCCAGCCCCACACAGGATCCAAGCCTTGTCTCCTGGTTTTCACAGTCAGCTCACGCTGAAAGCTCACCAAGACTCGCCCTTCTCCCTCTCGCCAGCGGCAAGTGGTCTTTTATCTGCTGCTTTCGGAAAGGTCAGGTCTTGGGCAGGGTTGGTTTTATCACCCAAGAACTGCTCGCTCTTCCGAGGGGGAGAATTCCTTGCCTGACTTTGTGGCTCCTCCTCTTTGTTCATAGCAAGCTGGAAGTGGGGTCATGAGTCCTGAGCCCCCCTGGAGCAGGGATGTGGAAGATGAATCTGCTCCGGGTACATTTGTAGGCAGAATATGCAGCGCTGGAGAAGTTGTGGGAATTAACGGAGAGATCCAAAACTTGAATTATTAAATATGCTATCTGGTTGTAATGTCTGGTTGTAAATCCCTTCCTTCACAGCTTTCTGTGTCTGGAATTCTAACAGGGTGATGCTATCAGGAGTCTGCACAGACAGCGGCTCGGGAGCCAATGTAAGGCAACCGTCTCAACTCTGCTTTTCTTTTGTCCTCAGAGTTCCCGGTCTTCCACCATGAATCCTGTTTACAGCCCCGTCCAACCTGGGGCTCCCTACGGAAACCCGAAGAACATGGCCTATACAGGTACAACAGGGCTTGTGGCTTTCCCTGAATGTCTGTGTGGGGTGGTGGTTAATCCCTTAATGAGGGAGAAAGATTTCCCATCGGGGAGCTGGATGGGAGCGTGACCCGCAGGAAAAACCCTTCAGCAAAGCCAGTGCAGTGAGGGTGGTGAGAAGAGGTGGAGCAAAGAGCATGCTCTGGAAATCCTAAGGAAAAGGATCCGAAGGGGTTTTCTTTAGATAAAGAAAAATACAGGCAGGTGCTGGGACAGTCAGCAGGAAGGCTCCCATCAGAACCTTCCCTTCCCTTCCCTTCCCTTCCCTTCCCTTCCCTTCCCTTCCCTTCCCTTCCCTTCCCCTGGAGCTGCACTGAACCACTGGAATGCACATGCTGGAATAATCCAGCTGTGGAAATGAGGATCCCACAGCCAAGAGTGCCTTGTCTGGAGAACATCCAGTTATTGTGATAGATGGTGACTTAAGCTACATTGTTGACTGATTTATTTTTATTTAACCAAGTTGTGCTTTGGTTGGGTTAATCTCATGTGGAAGAGCAAGTCTGATGTCTGTTTGAAACCTTCTTTAGAACTGAGTTGTCTAAAAATGTTATCCTTAAAACTCAATAAAAGGCCACCCTTGAAAGATGTTTACCATAATTATGTAACTAGTGAGGAACTAAAGTGGAAATAATTCAGTTCAGACAGAGACCGTGCTTCGGAAAAAGAAAATCCTGGTTCAGGTGTATCTGGTTTTCCCTGTGGATTATGTTCACCGTGTCTTGCTCTGATCTTGTAACCCTCTGATGACAAAATCACCCCTGGAAAACTCCTTTTTATACCATTTTGGGGAATGTAATCAGCTACTGTGTGTCGTGTTGTGTTAGGGCTTTCCTCTTTTGTATTTGCATTGCCAGTTGGGTGTGTTGACTTTCACCTATTGTGTGGAATTATTTGGGAATGTGCTTTTGTGGAGGAGATTGGTCACCAGCAAATGGAAATGAACATCAAATACTCTCAGCTGCTTTGTGCATGGAATATTCTGGTTGAGTTTGGCAGCACTTCCAGGTGCTGGATCCGTGGGGCTGTGAGGAGCCCTGTCTGAGACTCTGCAGAGCAGAGAGTTCCTCAAAGGCGTTTTGCCCCATTTTTATTCATCCTTTCTTTTTCCCATTCCAATTTATGCAGCTGCTTTGTTGGAGATACTGTAGCTTGGGGGAACTTTTGGTCTCACAGTCAAAGCACGAAAGGCTTGAAAAAAAAACACCAATCTCTGTGAAAAAGTCTCTTCAAAAATCTCCCCATTGTGAGAGGACTGTGGACTCCAGCAGCGCTTGGGTGATAGAACGAGCTCATAAGTGCACAGTTATTTTCCTACTCTGGAAATAACAGGAATTTTGTGGCTTTCTAGCCACAAGAGGCTACTTCTCTCGCACTTTACTTTGGTTTTTTATTTTGGCATATGCTTAAAGCTCCACCTTAATATCCATTCAATGTACATTTCTGTATCTGCCTTCATACAATCCTGGGTGTCTTAGAAGTTGTTTTCTGGCACTTCATATGACAATTTAATTTAAATATTGAGGTGCAGATTGGTCAGAATTTGGACCTTGACCTTTCTTGAAGAATTTTAGAGGAAGAATTCTGCTTTAGATGAAGGAATTAATAGAATTTCAGTATGGTTTAAGTGGGAAGGGACTTCAAAGCTCATCTGATTCCACCCTCTGTGATGGGCAGGGACGCCTTCCATAGACCAGGTTGCTCCAGGCCCCATCCAAACTGGGCTTGAACACATGAATTCTCCATGACTCCATTTGGAATTAGTCAAGTGCTAACATTAATGGCATGTTATTCTAAAATAACCTGCTGGTTGATCACTGTGAAGTTCCTAGTGTGCTCTGAACTCTGTAAATTTGACTTGGCCAACTTGTGCCAGCTCTGATCCATGCAGGGATCAGGAGGAGGTGCCTCCCAGAAACTGGTTTCATCCCAAACTATCCTTCAGGCATTTGTCTTCCAGAATTTGTGGTAAATGCACAGAAATCAGTGGTGGGATGTGCAGGATAATCTTGGAGGAAAAAGTTGGAGGCAGATCAGACAGGAAAAATTAAAACAAGGTCTTCAGTTATGTCAGTGGTAAAACAAAGAAAGAAATGGAGGGCAGCACTGCAGAAATATTCCTGCTGGGTTGTTCCATTGCCCAGGTGGAAGGTAAGGAGTCAGTGGGCTGAACTCTTACAGTGAATTCCCAAAATAGAAGTCAAAGATCATTTAACAGAAGAGATTTTTGGTTGTGTGGGGTGTTTTTTTTGTTTTTTTGGTTTTTTGTTTGTTTGTTTGTTTGTTTTCTGGGTAAATAGTATTACAAACCCTTTTAAATCTGAATTTGTCTGGATATGTAATGAAAGACCCAAAGTTCTATAGTGAATGAGGAGGAGAAAATTTAGATTTTATCCTCTGTAGAGAAAAGATAGGCAACTCCTGAGGGTGGTCTGAGCAGCTGTGAAAAGAGCTGTGGGATAAAACTCAGGTGGGATAGAGGCAAAAAGAAAGCAGGGATAGTAATCAGGATACTGGCAGGTTGAAATCTATCCTTTTGTGTTTTGTTTTTTTTTTTTTTGTGCTAAATGTGAATGCTTTATACTACTTAATATTTTGTTTATTATTTTTATTTATAAAATAGCTTTAGGCTGAAATAATGAGTTTTAATCTGGTTTTCTTCTCATTCTGCGTTGTTTTCTGGCAGAGCAGGGAGAGAGGTCCATTGCAAGATAAATAATCAAATTTTTTCTGCCAGATTGGCTGTTAGGGAAAATAGGAAATCCTTGAGTTAGGGAGAATGGGAAATCCTTGGCACATACTCAAGTACTTGATGAACCATCCGTTTATTCAGTTTCGTGATTTTTCCATTTTGATCTTCCTTAGTGGAAGTGTGAAGGACACTTATTTCCTAACTAATTTTTCAAGTGTGGTCTGGCTTATCTGGATTTTTATGGGAAATAATAATTTAAGTTTAAAAAAAGGAAGTTTTAAAATACAGTTACTTGGTGAGATAAAATCGACTCATTATTCAACTCATAGGAGAGATGTTTATGAAAACAATGCCTGTGTTTGAACAAAGGGATTTATTAAGCACTGGTGGCTTCTCTTGTGTCTCATTTTTGGGGTCCTTGGAACACCCAGATCTGTCGAATTTCACCCTCTTTCCCATTTTTCATTGGAAACCGAAAAAGGAGAGGAATAACTTCTGCTGGCAGTGTTTCCTGCTGCTGGGTGAGCAGCCATTGAGCTGAGGGAAGGTGACACAGGGAGAATATTCCGTCTGCAGACAGAGCTACATCTGCCCAGTGCCAGGTTTGTGCTCCAAGTCCTGGCTCCTCGTGCCCAGCTGGTGACGGCTTCCACTCCGCTAATTCCATGGATTTTGGAACATCAGCGACAGTGTTTCAGCGTTGTTTACTATTTAATTAAACCAGACTGTAATTAAGTTGGATCTTCATGTAAGCTGTTGTTTTAATTGAGGCTAATTTTAAAATGTATTTAAGGCCTCCAATTTGCTTTTTTGTTTTTGGTAGAATTCACTTGACCTGCCCCAAACGGGAGCTGCTGAAGCACCTGGTTTTCCTTTGGCATGTTACCCTTCCCATCCCACTCCAGGGAGGCAGCAGTGCTGCAGTAAATAGATTAGCCCATTGGTGTGGAATCAGGGATGAAGAATCAGTCTCTCCTGGAGCTTGTTTGACTTCAAGCGTGAAACGATAAAGTGTTTGTGATAGCTCACACCGTTTTCCCTCTCCCTACCAGGAGCTGATTAATATGCTGATAAGATGCTGTGATTCATGAACCTCCGCTAGGCTGACTCTGTGTTCGGGGGAGTTATTCCTAAATAATAAATGGTAATAAAATCCAAGAGCCCAAAGATGCGGAGCCGGGTGGGAAGTCTCCAAGGGGTTTGTGTCACGTCACTCCAGCGTGCTCAGGTCGTGCTGCAGCAGCGCCTGCTCGAGAGAGATGCTCACAGAATCCTGGCATGGTTTCTGGAAGGGACCTGGAAGAACGTCTCATTCCAATGCCCAGCCCTGGGCAGGGACACCTCCCACTGTCCCAGGCTGCTCCCAGCCCTGTCCAGCCTGGCCTTGGGCACTGCCAGGGATCCAGGGGCAGCCACAGCTGCTCTGGGCACCCTGTGCCAGGGCCTGCCCACCCTCCCAGGGAACAATTCCTTCCCAATATCCCATCTAACCCTGTCCTGTGGGAAGCCATTCCCTGTGTCCTGTCCCTCCATCCCTTGTCACCAGTCCCTCTCCAGCTCTCCTGGAGCCCCCTTAGGCTCTGAGCTCTCCCTGGAGTCTTCTTCTCTCCAGGAGAAGCTGGATGCCCCCAGCTTTCCCAGTCTGGCTCCAGAGCAGAGAGGCTTTCCTGCACAGGACTTTCATGCTCCTGAAGAGCAAGACATATCCCTGAACTGGGCTGTGTGCAGCACTCTCAAGTTGAAAATTCCCAAGTTTTGTCATTTTTTCTTCACCAAGGTGAAACCTTGAACAGAACCATTGAAACCAGAACATTTGTTTGGACATAATGATGAACAGAGGGAATCCGTGCCCTCCAGCCATTGGTTTTGTTGGCAGGACAGGAGGTAAAGGATTCTCACTTGTATTCCTGTCCTAATCCCTGTCATTTGTATTCATTGTTGAAGCTCAGACACAACTGCACATGTGAGGAGTGACCTCATTTACTCCTGACTGTTCCTTTAATTTATTGTGGTGTTGAAAGTCGGTGGCCTTCGATGTTGTAGGAGACAGAATGTTCCGATAGGATTTCTGCTGTCGGCTTTTAATCCTCCTTTGCATACTCTCTGTGGGACAAAGATAATTCTAGGCATGATTTCAGCCTTCCTTATTAACTTACAATTATAATTTGGATGTATTATTCTCTGGAAATGCTGGGACTTTGATGGGAGATCAGCTCTTTGGCCACACAAACCAAGTTCTTTCACAACTGCTCTGTGAAAGGGGATGAACTTTATATTTTTTCCTCTTTCTTTTTGCCATTTCTCAGCATTTTC